CCCTTAAAGGGGCATGGGCTGGCTACGGTGCCCGTGCCAGGTGCAAGCCTGCCAGCACCCAGCCAGCAGCCCCTGCACCTGGCACGGATCAAGCCACCCACCTGATGCCCCCCAGCCCTCCCCCTCTTCCCGGGACCAGGCTGGCGGCTCCCGGGAGCTTGCCCGGGACCGCAAGAAGCGGGCACCTGCCTGGGCTAGTGCGGACATCGTGGACCTTGTCCACGACCTCTGCACTAGGCACAGGAAAGGTGGCCGGCTAGGGCAGGAGAGCTGCCAGCCTGGCCACCCTGGAGCAGGTGTGCATGAAAATCAAGGTGGTCCACTGAGACCCCCGACCCTGAGCCCTGAGCTTACAATGGCCGTACTGGGTCCATCTAGCCCAGTAGCCTGTCTGCCGACAGCGGCCAACCCTAGGGACCCTGGAGGGGATGGACCGAAGACAGTGACCAAGCCATTTGTCTCGTGCCATCCCTCTCCAGCCTTCCACAAACTTTGGGCAGGGACACCACTCCTACCCCCTGGCTAATACCACTCCATGGACCCAACCTCCATCACTTTATCTCACTTCTCTTTAAACTCTGTTCTAGTTCTAGCCTTCACAGCCTCCTGCATCAAGGAGTTCCACAGGTTGACTCTTTGCTTTGTGAAGAACAACTTTCTGTTACTAGTTTGAAGCCTGCTACCCATTCCTTTCCTTTGGTGTCCTCTAGTCCTTCTTTATGGGAACTAATGAAGAACTTTTCTGTATGCACCCTCTCCACGCAACTCCTGCTTTTAGAGACCTCTATCCTGTCCCCCCTCCGTCTCCTCTTTTCTAAGCTGAAAAGTCCCAGTCTCTTTAGCCTCTCTTCATATGGGACCTGTTCCCAACCCCTGATCATTGTAGTTGCCCTCCCCTCTCCCACCCTCTCTCTTCCCCTCTCCCACCTCCTTTTCCCAGTCTCCCCCAGTTTTGTTCAATAAAGACAGATTCCATTTTGGAAGACACGTTATCTTTATTTTGTACATCAAGAAGAGGGGCTAGGGAAGGGTAAGTGGAAGGAGGTGAGGGAGGAATGGGGCACGAGCCCCCGATGGGGAGGACTGGGCTGGCTCTGCGGGCTTCTGGGGATGGAACCTCTCCTGCAGCCCCCCAATTACCCCTTCTCCCCAGATGGCAGCCTGCGGCAAGTGCAGTCGGGCTGATGGCCGAGTGCTGTGATGTGCCCGGGGTGGGGGTCAGGTCCCTTTAAGCACAGCCCTCGGCTAGCCTGAGACAGCATCTCCACGCTCTAAGTCCTCCTCTGATGCCCTGCCAGCACTGCTTCCGGCCATTCTTAACACCGGTTCAGGGTCCACTTAATGTGGACGGGCTAGTTCAAATTAGCAGAACGCTAATTCGAACTAGTTTTTAGTTCTAGATGCGTTAGTTCGAATTAGCTTAATTCGAATTAACTAATTCGAACTAAGTTAGTTCGAATTAGCGCTGTAGTGTAGACATAACCTAAGGGAATTTGGATCTTAGGGGCTAGGACAGGGACTCGGGGTGCAGGAGTGGGGTCGTGATTGGGGCAGGGGATCAGAGCTGGCTCCAGCTGGACACTGCGTACCTCAGGTGGCTCCTGGGTGGTGGGGCAGTGAGGCTAAGGCAGGCTCACCCCCGCTCTGGCCCTGCACCGCTCTCCAAAACAGCCAGCAAACTCCATCCTTCCCAAGCCCTGTTGGCTCCCCCTGAGAGAGGGGCACCCTGAGATCAGTGCTCTCCATCCTTCCCAAGCCCTGTTGGCTCCCCCTGAGAGAGGGGGCACCCTGAGATCAGTGCTCCTTCTCCCCCTTCCCTGCCCTGCACAAGAAGCAGGAGGCTCCCAGGGAGGGGCAACTCCAAGGCAGCAGTGTGAGGAGGGGCAGTTGAAGTGCTGTGCTTGATAGCCTCTTGGCCAGACCATTCAAGAGCACATGTCAAAGGCTCCAAGATCAACCAGTTGGTGACCACTGATTCTAGACCATCTCTGATAGGTCTTGTCTGACCTGCTCTTAAAAATCTCCAATGACAGAGATTCCACAACCTCCATATGCAATTTATTCCAGTGTTTAACTGCCATGGCAGTTAGGAAGTTTTTCTTGATGTCCAATCTAAACTGCCCTAGCTGCAATTTAAGCCCATTGCTCCTATCATCAGAAACAAACAATTTGCCTCTCTCCTCCTTCTTGAAAACATTTTAGATACCTGAAAATTGTTCAAGGTGTCCTTGGTCTCCATGTCTTGGGCTAGCACCTAACTACTAGACCATGCTTCCTTGCACTTTGTTGCCTCAAAAGTGAGAGCAGCTCATAAACTGCACTAAAACAGCCACAATATTTTGCAATTCACTCCTTTCTAGTGTTAAATCTTGTCCAAATAAAAGTTCTTTCCTGTTTCAGTATACAAACAGGCAACAAAATCAAGGTTCTCCCATTTGTGGTAGTTCCATCATGTTCTTTTACCAGAATGAAACAATTCTCCCCACCCCACCCCCCCCCTCATTTCTAGCCAGTCCTTTACATCCAGCACTTTCGGGCCTTGTACTTCAATAATAAGCACCATCTGCATCAATGATTCTGCCATTGATTCTTCTGTTGGTCTAGTTCCATTTCTTAGAGACCTGGCATAAAAATGGGATTGTGGAGTTTTGCTGTTCCTAGATAACTCATGCCAAGCTATCCGAGGGTTCCCTAGGAGTCAGACAGGTTACAGTAAGTAACCTGTCACAGCAAGTAAGAGTATAAAAAACATAGTTGGTATGATTCTCCTCTCACACTGACATTGTGGTGGTGCATCGCTATTGGTTTCAATAGAATTATTGCTTTGTAGTTGAGGATCAATTAAAGCAACTAACTCTTTTGATATTAAGCTATGGCATGGGACTTTCCATTGGACTCCATGTACTAATCTGTGTAAACCCTGATGTCAGAAAACAGATCTTAATGGATGTGGGAACACTGCTTCAGAGAAGTTATCCTGTTGCATTCTGCCTTCTTTTGTGTGCTTAATAATGTAAAAATCTAAAGCTAGTACAAAATTTCTAAAACACTGAATGGTTGCTTACCTTGTCCAATTTCTTCATCAATTGTTATACTTCTAATAGCACTTGAAGGATGAACTTGCATTTCATCTAAGTAGGCTGTAACGCTGCCTGGTAGAGGAACAGATGAGGTAAGGGTTGCCTGTGATTTAGGTTCCACGTCGCTCCTCAGTGAATCTTCAGTTACTTGAGTACTTGAAGGTATAACTGTTTGCACCCAAACTTCTGAAACATTAAGATTAAACAACAATTTGTGAAGTAACCGAAGAAAATGCTCATGGAAGAGATTTCAGTCCCGACTTAATGTCATGTAAAACTTTAATGAGAATGTGCTGCTTTCAGGTGGATTTTGCTTTATAAATAAACCTGAAAAGTCAAAGAGCTAAATGCAAGGAAACTCAAACATTCACAAAAATCTCTACAAAGAAAGAATGCAGAGTTTCTCACAGATAACATCTAAACATCATTGAAATATCCCAAATACGTTCATCAGCGAATATTTGTTGGCCAAATTATGGCTTTGTTTGCAGTTTCCGGTCAGTGGAGTTCATGTCAACTGATTTCAGATAGCTTTAAGTTGTCTTGGAACTGATCATTTTACATTATGAATCTGCACAGTGCTTTCCTTTTCCATAGCCTTTCAAATAAGTTAAAGAGTCTGTTCCTTTTTAACAACCCATGTACTGTAGTTACTTTTTGCACAGCAAGGTTCACACCCTATCTGGAGAAAGACACTGCTTGACTAGCTTATAAGAGAGCAACCATGCATGAACAAATGCTAATAAACAAGAAATAAGAAAAACATAAAGACCAGATTTTCAAACAATTTATGCATGTGTGAAATGTGTATGAAAATTTAAGGCCTAATTTATGATGGAGACTAACGTGACCATGCCCAGGTAATTTTGCTAAAGTAAAACCACAAATGTGCCTAATGAATCATTAGAACTTCCAGACACTAATTTTAGCATGCAATAATAACTGTGTATGGTAATTAAGCATACTCTAACACACCTAAACTGCTTGAAAATCTTGCCTTAAATAAGTGGATAAATAAATACACATCAGAAATAAACACATACCAGGAAGAACTAGAACATATGCAAGATTTTATTGAAACTAACATGGGTTGTTTATAATTATAAGAAAAGAAGCTATTGTGTATATCACATGATACAGTCATAATGTTTTCATGGCAGTCTGAGCAAAATATAGTTCGCTTTTAATTTAATCTTGATTTTAGTGAGACCAAATCAAGCAAGTCACATTGCTTTATAAGTTCTGATTAAAATGAATTATTCAGTTATGTACTTTCATGTCCTGTCTAAACCACAGAAATATTGATGTTGCAGAGACTTGGTTGCAACCTAGAAGCCCTTTGGTGCATTTTCATATATGGTAAATGGGATAAATTGTATGTTAACAAAGTTCCTTAACTGTGCTATTGCCTTACTAAGTCAGAGGGCAAAATGTGTTCAAAATATGAAACATTGAAAGATTGAACTACATTTTAGCTGTGCTAATATAGTCTGACTTAATGGATAGTTATCTATGGTTTGATGTCTGGTTGATGACTGGTATTAAGTGGTGTGCTGCAAGGATCGGTTCTGGGGCCAGTTTTGTTCATCTTTATTAATGACCTGGATGAGGGATGGATTGCACCCTCATTGAGTTCACAGATGACACTAGAGGATAGGTAACGCAGTCTAGAGTGACCTAGACAAACAGGAAGATTGGGTCAAAAGAAAGCTGAGATTCTACAAGGACAACTGCAGAGTCTGGAATTTGGGATGGAAGAATCCCAAGATGTAACAGGCTGGGGGCCAACTGGCTAAATAGCAGGTCTGCAGAAATGGACCTAGGATTACAGTAGATGAGAAGCTGGATATGAGAAAACAGTATGCTCTTATAGCCAAGATGGCTAATGGCAACTTGGAGTGCATTAGTAGGAACATTTTCAGCTGCTCTAGGGAAGTGATTGTTCCCCTTTATTCAACACTGGTGAGGCCACATCTGGAGTATTATGTCCAATTCTGGGGGCCCCACTACAGAAAGATATGGATGCATTCAAGAGGATCCAGCAAAAGACACCAAAAATGATTAAGGGACTGGAACAAGTGACTTATCAGGAGAAGCTGAGAAAGTTGGATTTATTTAGTCTAAAGGAGAGAAGTCTCAGAGGGGATTTGATAGCAGCCTTCAACTACCTGAAGGGGGTTCCAAAGAGGATAGAGGAAAGCTGTTCTCAGTGGTGACAGATGACAGAATGAGAAGCAATAGTCTCAAATTGAGGGACATCTAAGTTGTAGATTAGAAAAAAACGATTTCCCTAGGGGTATGTCTACACTACAGCATTGTTTTGAAATAGCTTATTTTGAAATAACGTGTCTAGACCCAAAATGCATTTCAAAATAGCATTCTATTCTGAAATAGTGCGTCCACACTGATAGGACGCTGAATCACATTTAAGGCCGTCTGGAACCAGTTCTGGCAGGGCATCAGGTCAGGGGTTAGCCTCAGGTAGCAGCCACACAAGATATCTGAGACCTGTGCTTAAAGGGACCCCCACCCCCACCCCTGGACAGCTGGTTCTAAGATTTCACTGCTTGCTTGGCTACCTTGCTGAGAGACAGCAAAGCATTTTTTTCTCTGCGTGCTCTGATTGCCCTCACTCAGGACACCACAGCACTCTACAGCATGGAGCCAGAGCTGCCCCTGGGCACTCTGGCCACAGCACTCTGCAGCATGGAGCCAGAGCTGCCCCTGGGCACTCTGGTGCTTCTCCTGGACGTGTTGCTGCGAGACTGGCCACGCATTCTGCAGGCAGAAACAGTGTCCCTGGTGTGCCCCACTGGGGGTTTGTGCCTCATTCCTCCCTCATGCCCTTCCACTTACCCCTCCCTAACTCCCCTTCCTGCTGTACAATAAAAGACATATGTGTTTATTACAACAAAGGCTCTTTATTGAACAAAACTGGGATGGGGAGAATGAAACTGAGGTGAGACTGGGGAAAGAAGGTGGGAGAAGGGAGCTGGCAAGGGGAGGAAGGAAAGGGGAAGAGGAGCTCAGGGTTGGGGATCTCACCGGCCCAACTGACTCCCAGCACTGAGGATGTGGGGGCCTTGGCATCCCTGGGGGTGTGGGGAGGGTAGGGAGGAAGAAGCAGGAGTGGGAGAAGGAGCGGTAGCTGGGGAGGCAGCAGAGGCTGGAGCAGCAGGAGGCAGCAAGCTCTGCCCCAGGGTCAATGACACCTGGGGGGCACAGACCATCCTGCCCCCCCATAGAGGCGGGAGCAGCAGGAGGCAGCAAGCTCTGCCCCAGGGTCAATGACACCTGGGGGGCACAGACCATCCTGCCCCCCCATGCCTCCCATGGCATCAAAATAAGGGCAGAAGCCTGGGTCTTCCCCTGGTTGGGAGCTGCCCCCTGTGGCCCTGGCATACGCCTGCAGCAGCTCCTTTATTTTCATGCGAACCTGCTCCTGGATTTGCATGTGACCTTTGGTGGCCAGGCTGGCAGCCATCCGCCTGTAGATGGTTGTGTTCCTCTGTTTAGTGCGGAGATCATGGATGTTGGAGGCTTCCCCCCCAAACCTGAATTAGGTCCCTGATTTCGCACTGGACCAGGCAGGCGCCCACCTTTTCTGGCCCCTGGCAGGCTCCTGGGAACTGGCAGACTGGTCCTGGGGAGCGGTGGAGGGCTGGCTGGCACTGGCTGCCTGGCTCATGCTGGGACAACTGGGTCAGGTGAGGCGACTGCTGGCTCTGGGCTGGCAGGCTTGGAGCTGGCAAAGGCACTGTGGCCAGAGTCGACCTCTTCAAGGGCTACGGAGAGAGAGAGAGAGAGAGGGGAAGAGGAGTTTTCTTGATTGTGCCCAGAGTGGCCACCAGGGCACCCTGGGAAGGGCTGGAGGCCCCCTATTTCAAAATAAGCATCTACACAACTCTTATTTTGAAATAGCAATTTCGAAATTGGTGCTAGTCCTTGTGGAATGAGGTTTACCAATTTTGAAATAAGCCCTCCACTATTTCAATTTAATTTCAAAATAGAGGTTTGGCTGTGTAGACACTGGTAAAGTTATTTCTAAATAACTTTGCTGTGTAGACATACCCTAAGGCTACGTCTAGACTGGAAGCCTCTTTCGAAACAACGCGGCTGCAGTCTAGACGCAGGTGAAGTTTTTTCGAAAAAAGGCTACTTTTTTCGAAAAAACCCTGCAGTCTAGACACACCCTAAGAGGTTAAATATTGATGTTGCAGAGACTTGGTTGCAACCTAGAAGCCCTTTGGTGCATTTTCATATATGGTAAATGGGATAAATTGTATGTTAACAAAGTTCCTTAACTGTGCTATTGCCTTACTAAGTCAGAGGGCAAAATGTGTTCAAAATATGAAACATTGAAAGATTGAACTACATTTTAGCTGTGCTAATATAGTCTGACTTAATGGATAGTTATCTATGGTTTGATGTCTGGTTGATGACTGGTATCAAGTGGTGTGCTGCAAGGATCGGTTCTGGGGCCAGTTTTGTTCATCTTTATTAATGACCTGGATGAGGGATGGATTGCACCCTCATTGAGTTCACAGATGACACTAGAGGATAGGTAACGCAGTCTAGAGTGACCTAGACAAACAGGAAGATTGGGTCAAAAGAAAGCTGAGATTCTACAAGGACAACTGCAGAGTCTGGAATTTGGGATGGAAGAATCCCAAGATGTAACAGGCTGGGGGCCAACTGGCTAAATAGCAGGTCTGCAGAAATGGACCTAGGATTACAGTAGATGAGAAGCTGGATATGAGAAAACAGTATGCTCTTATAGCCAAGATGGCTAATGGCAACTTGGAGTGCATTAGTAGGAACATTTTCAGCTGCTCTAGGGAAGTGATTGTTCCCCTTTATTCAACACTGGTGAGGCCACATCTGGAGTATTATGTCCAATTCTGGGGGCCCCACTACAGAAAGATATGGATGCATTCAAGAGGATCCAGCAAAAGACACCAAAAATGATTAAGGGACTGGAACAAGTGACTTATCAGGAGAAGCTGAGAAAGTTGGATTTATTTAGTCTAAAGGAGAGAAGTCTCAGAGGGGATTTGATAGCAGCCTTCAACTACCTGAAGGGGGTTCCAAAGAGGATAGAGGAAAGCTGTTCTCAGTGGTGACAGATGACAGAATGAGAAGCAATAGTCTCAAATTGAGGGACATCTAAGTTGTAGATTAGAAAA